GAGTGCTTTTTTTGTATTATTCCGATACACAAGCACTCTCACGTTCCTTCCTGGTAAAAGTACCAATGGTGCTCCTATTGGGATCTGGGAGGTGGGTGGACATAAGCCAGCCCATATTTAAAGGACCATTCCCCAGCCTACAGGGAGGATCCAAAGAGCCCTAAACTCCAACTGATTCCAGGGGACAAATAAAGAGAAAACAGGTATGGAGTATGGAGGTCAAAGGGCTAAAACAAGGGAACTGGATGGGGACACTGAGCAGAGAGTCCTGGACAGCACCCACTGCTCCTCGAAGGCCTCGAGAGAGCCAGTAGATGCCACCCCCTGGAACTCTGCCCAGATGCGTGAATGGATACAGGAGCAGAAATAGGCCCCACGATCTCAGACCTCTCCTTGAGCCAACCTCTGTTCCCTGGTCTTGTAAATTGCCAGGTGGGCCATAGCCAGGAGGAGGTTGATGAGGAGGTCTTGCAACTTTGTGGGGCCTCAGATGGGGTGCACATAAGTTAATAGGTGAGGGGAGAAGTGCAGCCAGAACCTCAAGAGGTTCTGGAGGAGCCAAAAGAGGGGTTGTAACCTGGCACACTCGAGGTAAACGTGCGCCAGAGTCTCCCTCATGCCACAAAAGGGGCAAGTGGTGGGAACAGGGGTGAACCTCATCAAATAAACATCTGTGCTCATGGTGCCATGGAGGATACTAATGGGGCTGGTTGGAAGGAAAAATTCTAACTACCGTCTAACCTTGACCCAGACACTGGTCTAATAGATTTCCACATGATAAAATTAAATTAGACAAGGTAATCATATTAAACAAATGATAAATATGAATTAACAATGCAGATACAAACTCTTAAGCACTGGTGCCCAACCCCTGACTTAAATCAGAAGAGAATATGACTGTAATATCCTCTTGGGGAGTGTGTACTATATAGGGGCTGGCTGGTGAGAGTTTTGTATTCAGTAGTAGCAGACAGCAAGTTATCCTACCACTTTAGGACATAAGACAGCATCTGTTTTCATTTTGTAAAAATATACTATTATTGATAGCCCTGGTTACCATTTTCTCATTTTAAAATGACTGACCAGTTTGATCTGCCTCCCCTTCTCCCAGCTGATCAGAAAATGAGTGAAAAGAGAACATATAACCTCAATCCTGAAGAGGCTGAGAGTGTAAGTAAGGCAGGATCCTTCCTGACTCCACAATCAGAGGGGACTCAGCGTCATTGGTGTGTAAAAGGCAGAGCAATACAGTGGGTGTGAACGGGTGGTGCCTTCTGGTCATCCAATAAGTTACCTAAGCTACCTTGCTTGGCAGGAATCACAGGCCCAGAAATGGAAGGAATACAACAATCATTTTAGGAGAACTAGCAGGGAGACTGTACTGGGGTAATGGTGAATTAGGGGTAAGAGGAAGAATCTGTCTTGGAAAACTCAAAATGTCAGTGGATGCAGTCTTATTTAGCCCAAATTCATCCCTTTGAAGGTCTAGATATTTGAGGCCTTGTCTATACAACAGATAAGATTGAAGCAGCCGCAGTCAATTTTCTTACAACAGATAAGATCAAAGCAGCCGCAGTCAATTTTCCAGGATTCGAATTAGCAGGTATAGTGAAGACCCACTAATTTGAACTGATGGAAGCATCAGTGCTGGTAGTCTTGCTTCCATGAGGAGTAAGGGAAGTTGAAGGGAGAGTGTGTTCCCTCAATTTTTGGTGGATAGCACCAAAATTTGAGTCAAGATACTTCAACTTAAGCTACGCAGTTAATGTAGCTGAAGTTGCGTCTCTTAATTCTAACTCATCCTCTAGTGTAGATCCAGCCTGAGAAGCTATTTTCCCTCCACATGCTGTTGCAGTAGCACTGCTAAAGCCTTAGGATAGTTAGATTCATGTAATCTCTTCTGAAGAGTAAATGAGCCTGTAAACTTTCATATAGAATGCAGAATGAGATGGGCCGGTGGTATGGAACTCTGTAGCACATCATCCTTTGGAGTAGTGTGGAGGGGGCTAGTAGTACAAAAAAATAGCTATGAAAATGTAAGAAAGAACTCTGTAGCACATCATCCTTGGGAGTAGTGTGGAGGGAGCTAGTAATACAAAAAAATAGCTATGAAAATGTAAGAAATTTTTCTTTCCACACAAAACCTGACAGGCTAAATGTTTTGGGCATGAGAATTTATTGTATCTCAGCAAGAGCAAAGTAATGCATATCATGGCATACCAATTGCAGTAGTTTGCACACACCCTGTAGCGTCGGACACACCATATATCAGTTTGACTGGTAAAGGCTTCTTTCCCTTTCAGCATTAGAGTCATGTATTCACTTGGCTCAGAGGCTC